AAAGCGCTCCTGAATTACCTTGCGTACTCCTCAGATCGCGACAGCGTCCACTGTCAACATCACGATGCCTGGGGAGAGCGTATCCAGTCGTAGACAGCAACTGCATCGGCTCGGGGGGGGGGGAGGTGGGGAAGAGGAGATGGGAGCCAACATGTCGTTGTGCCGCCTTGGTTCGCGTGCACACGCTACATCTCTGTCTGAGCAACCAACACATTACCACGCCGCTGCGCTGCAAGTGGGTCCACGGTCGCGCCCTCTCCATATGGTATATGTCGGATTGGAAGGGAGAGCGGTCTTAGCCCTTCCAATACGGTGGGTCCGTGACTACTCGCACTCACTACATTACCCATTCGGTCATTTATCGATTTTGCTGGTTGAACACCGTGTGACTGCAACTTGCAAAGCCTCCCATGCAACTTTTTGTCTCACAAAATCCCATTTACCAACCCAACCGTGTATTTCCCAGGTCGTACAAGCTCTTCAACTAATGGCTGCAAAGGGCAAAACAGTGGTGACGGTAATTCATCAGCCCGGTAGCACAATCTTCAATATGTTTGACAGGTACTAGAAGAGAATCTAAAATTTAGCAACAACTCATCATCGCCGGTAAATTTCAGGGTTTGTTTTATGGCCCTCGGGAAGCCAGCGTACTTCGGCAGGGTCAAGGATCTGATCGAATTTTTCAACGGGTTTGTAGTTTATAGCGGGCCTCATGGGATTTCCTATAGACATTTGTTCTGAACAAACATAAATGATAGGAATTTTGTCAGCAAGGAGTTCATTTAGCCTTGGCCATCAATCACTACGCGTACCAGAGTCCCATAACCCAGCCGATCACGTCATTGCTAAACTCGCCGTCAACAACGATACAATCGACAAGGATATCAAGCGCGTCAATGTAAGTGAAATCGCAAGATTTTAACTTGGAGACGGCGCACTTCAGCGAAGGGGTGGGGGCATATTGAACTTCTGCTGTTTTTCCTATCGATGTGTGGAGCCATCAAGTTGAGAGCTGTCACCTATTGTGGAGCAATGAAATACCGGAAATACCATTTACCATGGTGGTTCACGGAGTTTGCTGCAGTTTTACAGGAGTCAACTGGTTTCGCCCGAGGGAGACTTGTAAACTGCAACTTTGGAGCAGTCAAGTGCAAACGCAGTCCCCCCCGCCCCTACCGTCGCCGGACTGCGCCCTTGGGAGCTTAGCTGTAATACATTGACTTGAAATGTTCTACTGTTTCAGTTCATAACCGAGATGTTCGAAGAAAGTTATGCTGCAGATGAATTGAGAGACCTCATACAAAAGACTTCTATCAAGCCAGAAGGAGATGTTGAGGATGGTCCGGAGAAGCATAGTATGTGGGTGCCTGGGTTCTTACTGAAACCCTAACGGCGACTGTTTTAGCAAGATTTTAATGTTTATGGCTTCAATTTGCGTTCTGAAAGGTACCGATAACAGTGTTGGAAAAAATATCAACGCCACCTCTCAAAATTTCTTTTTTAGTGCGACTGCTCCTACGCTTCCCCATTCCCCATCCTACCTCCATCCTCTTAAATTCCTACCAGTTTTTTCTACGGAGTTTTTTCGAACATCCACTTGTCACCTGCTCGGTCCAGTGGGCTTAGCTTAACACGGAAACTTGAATATAGGCAAGAGGCTTCTTGACAAGCAGTATTAAAGTAATTAAGTATTACCATGGCTTCAGTGATTTCTTGAAGCCACAGCCAAGGTGTTAAATCTACGTCGGGCTAGTCGCCTTCGTCAGAGCCTGGAAGTTGAAGATCAGTGATTCAATCCTCACAAATCATTTCAAACTTAGAAATAGTTCGTAGATCAGCGCATCTAGGAAGGTATCGCAAATCCGAAACACAAGAACTCACCTTAGACCATACGGTAGGTTTTGTAGAGGACCACCGCTAAACTGACTAACTGTGTGTGGCTTCAGATGACCCAGCCCCTCGACCTGAAGCCGATGGCGATTGAAGCCCACACAGGTCAACGAACGGGGCGAGTTTGTTTTTATTTACCGGCCATCATCTGAGGAGGAATTCAAAAGGCAAT